GGAGCCCCTCGCCTTTGAGTACTGCAGCAGCCCAGACATAGACTGAATTAGGTGCCTAAACTCTTGAGTAGATTGCCCATGGAAAGGAGCTTACTCTATAAATTAGGATCTTACACAATTAATTTCAATATAATTAAAAGGAATTATTCACTCTATTACGCAACTCAACCCTTCTCCGCAAACTCTTTCAGTTGTTGGATGCGCAAAACAACCTATTTCCCTTTACGACAACTTGGTGACCTTTGACACGTTACACCTGGTTGCACGTAATCTTTACTTTTGCCTTTCACTCATGCAATTGGACTGACTAGTGACTTTAAATTAAACCTTGAGACCGAGCCCTGCCTCTCACCTTTCGGTTCATTGCAAGGAAATACTAAAAAGAAAAAAGGAAGCTTTCGGCGGACACAAGCCCTCGGGACTTGACACTTGGACACCGGGAAGCTTGCCCCTTGAGACTGGGTCCTTCGTTTGGAACTGCCCTTTTCCTTTCCAAAGTGAAATTCCTCCTTACTTTCCCCTTTGACCTGTGCCAAACTCCACTTTTGATTTTGCCAGGTGGAATGATTCATTCAACCTCGGTATCGGCAACCAAGACACCCTTCTCTGTCGAATGAATATTCAAATCATCATCTTCAAACCACGACTCCGATCACGGTTTCCAGTTGAGTTTTATCTCAGGTGACAGGGGCAGGAGAACACTCTAGGATTCCTCTTGTTCTTCTCTTGAGCTTGTAAAGGAGCCTCAACCTTAGTATCGACGAATCACCAGTCTTTCTTTTAGGGTATTATCCGCTAGAGATCTGGTATTGTAGTTTATTGTTAGTTGGGCCTAGGAGCCAACCCCAAAGCCAAGGTCGAACGTAAGCCCTAAGCGAACCCAAGCTTTAGGAGCTCTAAGCCCCAAGTCAGCACTTTCTACTCTCTTGTTGGTGATCGTGTTTGGTAGCTCTTCGGTGTATCGACATCCCGATTTTCCACTCGATAGATCCCACAAATATGCTGCTAATTCGTGGGTGCCTATTCTTCGATCCAAACTGGTGATTCACCGCATGAAATAAAATAGAGAAAAAGACCTTCAAGAGAATAAACAAATAAAATCATTTTCAAGAGACAAACTCCAGTGAACCCCTTTCCTCCCATTCATTGCCTTTTGAAAGAAGTAAAAATAAAAAAAATCTAACGCTCTAGTCGAATTGAAGACTTTCAATGCTCATGCTATTTGAAAGAGCTTTCAACATAGAGTGGAGACTCCATAACGTACACAAAAAGTAAGCGATCTATGAATATCATCCCAATTCAGGTCTTGTTCCGCACTTAAATGGATAACTCAAACCCTTACCTTGACCAGTTTGTAGTGGAAAACCTCAATGACATAATCGTTTATAGTCACTTACTGGAGGTTTGGAACCCTGAGTACAGTGTTCCGGGTGTAGCAGGAAAAGAGGCCAGTTCCCTACCGAGACAAACTCTCAACGGATCCTCCGCGCGATGGGAATACCTCTTCCGTGCGTCTTTCTCGTGGCGGGAACAGAACAACAGGGAAGGACCCGGCCCAGGGCGAGCTTTATTTATTTAAGAGAGAATGGGGAGTGAATCGAATTCCGTTTCCGTTCTTTGGGGGCTTTCGGGCCCCTCTCGATCTTTTTCTACGTTGAGAAGGGGGAAGGAGTCTAAATCAATGGACATTAATGAACCATCATTGATGGACGTTGCACATGACACGATCAATTCGACTCAAGGTCCGGCGCTAATAGAAGTTGCTTACTTTCCTAGTAGCGAAGGAAAGGGCAGGGCTTTTTTCGTAGTAATAGTGGGCGGGTCTCCGAATTTTGCGAAGCACCGGATCTAGATCAAGATCTCCATTACGTCGTACGATATATCGATCCGGAAAAAATAGGGGGTTGTAGCACTGACCTCTTTTTTTTATTGATTCAATACAATAGGGGAAAAGATCGTACAGTTCCTACCGAGACAAACTCTCAACGAATCCTCCACGCGCTGGGAATACCTCTTCCGTGCGTCTTTCTCGTGGAGGGAACAGCGCCATGCGTCGAGTATACACCCAGTACCCAGCTTCCCATAAAATATATGACAATGGAAGATCCTTAGACATAATAGCCCTCATTACAGGAACAAGGGATATGGAACTAACTAAGGATCTTAACATGTGACAGGAGACAGGAAAAAAAGTGGTTATTAAGAGAAGAATTCCCTAAAGAGTGAAAAATTAAGAATACAAAGCTATAATATAATTAAATTATATTATAATTAAAATTCAAATCAAACTTTGTGAAGTATCGTGCTCCACTCAACTGATCGAAAAGGGCTAAGGCTGGTAAATCCAACTCTTTTTTGTTAAATAGAGATCTCGATTCAAGGGCTATCGACCCGACAGTGCTCCGTTGGTCAGTTTGATAATGATCGAGTGACAATGCTTCTTCGGCCCGAACCGAGGAATCCCTTAGATATGATGCATTGGACGTAACATTCTTTAACCGCTTATTTACGATAAAACTAGTTTGATGAAAACAGCTCTACGGAAGGGTACAAAGACGAGGCCTTTGATCCAACTCTTTTTTACATAAAGAAATGAAAATCAGTCTCAAATAAGGCGTGCAGGCCTGCCCCTTTAGTAGGTGATTCACTACCGAAGCGAAGAAAAGGCTAGATCTTTCCTCCCTTTACTAAAAATTCTTCTATTAGTATTAGTGAAAGCTCAATCCCAACTCTCTCACTAAGACCTGATCTTGCAAACAATGTTCTTCCTAAAAAGCCAGAGCGGCCTCGTCGCTTACCCGCATTTCTCTTGGTATACCTACATGTGTGCCTCCTAATTCCGTGAAGTCCTTGGAGCATGTGCAATTTATTCAGGATCCTTGTCAAGAAAGAAGTCAGGGGACTAGAGGGAATGCAACTACTGAGACAGCAACTCAAATAAAATCCCGAGAGAAAATAAAAGATTAGTAAGGTAAGGTCTATAGATAGTAAGGAAAGGCATAGAGAGGACTCAAGGACAAGACACGACTCAGACCCCGGTAAATTTGATCTTCATTGGCCTTGCTGTCCGCAGATCGATTACTCTCCTTTGGGCCGAACACTAAAAAATATGTGGAAACCCAGCTTAAGCTGGTTGTACTTTTAAGCGTGCAGACAAGGTTAATTCACTCTGGGATTGGTAGTCCCGTCTGCTCTGACGTCGGAATAATCATTATAATACGCGATGAATCACCAATTTGGATCGAAGAATAGGCACCCACGAATTAGCAGCATATTTGCTGGATCTATCGAGTGGAAAACCGGGATGTCGAAAAGTATTGTATTGAATTAATTAAAAGAATATCTATTAATTAAAAGATAAAATTAATAAGAATTTAATTAATTAAAAGCATTAAAAGTATGGAATATTACTTTTCTTAACTATGAAAGCTTTGTCACTACGGCGAAGCTTCAACAACCAAAACGTTGCGAGGGCCTTGAAACCAAACCGCCCCCCGCCCGAAAATGCCTATTCCTTTCTTGTTGGGGGTCAAAATGCTCGCTGTCCTATTACAGCCAGCTCCCAATGAGAAAAGATTCATTTTTAAGAAGTTCATTTGATGACTTAACAAGTCTCACAGCAATCGGCCGAATGATTGTTATACCACTTATGGTTACAGTGCATCTATCGAAGCAGAACAAGTCTAATACTCCAGCCCTGATTTTCGGTGAGCCATCCAGTCCCTGGACAGCTCTCGGTTCTTAAGCATGTTGGGGGATTAGGCAGCAGTTAAAAGAGCTGGCAATTCTGCGGCAGAATCAGGCAGTCTTCCCTGCCTAGAATCCGAGTCAAGTTCGGAATCGCTAAACACCTTTAGGAACGTTATAGCGGTGGAGAATAAGGCTGAAATCTATCAGCGAATAAGATTCTTGGAGAACCACATCCCCCTTGATAACTGAATGCAAGCGAGGCTGGACCTAGATTCGCATATGTAAGTGAAAACGAAAAGAAAGGGGTCGACTTCTAATAAACGTGATTGACCCAATTCTGGATCATCTTCTGGAATCGTATAACTGTCAAAAGTGAGTGACTGTTCATCGAAACTGTTATAGTCCGAATACTCATAAGGTAGGGTCGACGCCTGCCTCCCCCCAAACTGTACTTGCAAGTTTCCCCGCAAAAAGCTCTCCACGCCTACTATTAGAAAGAACACTATTTTTCTTTAGTTAGGTAGTTCTCCCAACCGTAAGACCCTTTATGAGTAAGGTTAATCGAAGGCTGGGGAAAGTTTATTGGAAAGAGGGAACCATTTATCACCCAGTCCTACCTACCCTATGTATTCGACGGAGAGGCTGGAACCGAAAAAGACCAGGTTCCACACATATGAGACAGGCAGAAGGTATGGGACGAGCAGTTTCTTGAAGAGCGAATTCGATCCTATAGTCATCTTCTTTGTTCGAAAAATGCACAGTGGAAAGGTATGCTAGTCGGCTCGGCGAAGTTGTAGCCCAAAAAAAGAAGATCCAGAGTGATTCCTCACCTATCCTGTCAGGGGCCCGGAAAGGAAGTGACTTTAGGGTTGGAACATCAGAGCGGAGGCGAGCATAGAATCTATGAGTGTTTGAATTGAATACCTTGGGAGGGGTTGATCTTTATCAGCAATTGATGTATCATCCTCTACCTCTATATCAATTTCAGAGCTTCTGTTTCTGAGGTAAGCTTGAGACATGAACTCTATGTTATGGCCAAAGCCATTGCTTCCTGCAATCTGCATGGAGCCAACAGCTAGAGGGGACAATGACAAATCCTTAATTTCATCTTGTCTAAGATGCTCCATTATGTCATGAACTGCAAGTTAAGCGTTGCTCTATCCTGTTTAATGGTGTTGGACAAAGTCCTTTCGTTAACTAGCCTACCTTGCTTTTCAAATATAAATAGAAAACCACTCAGGTCAATAGCTCATTTCATCATGGGTCACTTTCCCTAATCAATTTTGATCACTAAAAAAGACCTCCGCAGGATGGCAGCGAAAATGGTAAATGTCGTCTTTCTTTACAATGACTTCTTCTTTTCCTCTTCACCATACTAAATTCTAGCTCACCCTCGGATCAGTAAGAATTCATTGTCCGATTGAATCCACTTTTTCCTGGATGCTCTATAGGAATCCATCGCTATTCCTTTCCTCCACCAATAAAGGTTCATCTCGAGTCACAAGAGCAATTTTCTTCTTTTTTGAATTCTTTTTTCTTTTTTATGGTAATGCAATGCAAGAGGTCGGAAATCAGGTTGTTTCTGATGATGAAAAAAGCTTTTATCTTATGTGAAATTTATAAAAACCCAAAATGTCGGTAATGTTAGAAGACGACCTACGACATCTGATGGTCATATGCCATAGGTCGGTATATCTTTGAAAGCTCAGACAAAGAGAATAAACAAACTCCTCGAGGGCTACTTAAGCCACTTTAGTGCAAACCATAAGGACTTATGTTGTTGGATGTTGCTCAGTCCTGCTATAACTTAACAACCAAAAAGTTCTGCGTCGAACTTCAGCCCCTTCGAGTTGGCCACGGGGTAACAGCCTCTGACGCCCCCACACCATTGAGACAGGAGGGGGCTTGCCCATCAGCCTACTTTGCCAAGAGGGAAAGTCAAGATTGTTCTTGCGGAGAAAAGCCTACTTACTTGCTCTTGCTGCTTTTAATTTAAGAGCAAGTCGGTCTAGCTTCTTACTCTTTCACCTTTCAAAGAAGTCGAAATAGAAAGGGGTAGGAAAGATCCCGTGTACCTTGTTCAAGTTGCAGATCTCCTTCATTAGCTTTGAGTTCATTATTGTTCTTCTGGTTCTCCTTTAAAAGGGGTCGTGGGGGAAAAGCCCCAGCCCCCTACATGCATTAAGCGATGACGGCTCAAACGAAACAAACCATTTCTCATAAGAGAATAGAAAATCACAAGAAAGATTTGATCAAAAGTGACTAGAAAAGAGGCGGTCGAGAAGGAATGAGTGGAAACTATGTTGATTTAATGCAATTTCTAAATTAGGAAAGATTAGACAGAATCCTACCAATGTAAATTAAAGTTTCCAACAGTGAAAGGCTGCCCCTGTCGGCGGGTTGCTTAAGTCCATGTAGTCCAAATCTCCGCTTAGGAAAGAAGTCCAAGTTTACTTTTTGCGAAAGGGAAAATGGCCTTCTGTTAGAGAGTGATCGAGAGAAATTTTAAGTTGGGAGCCATTCTTTTGCAGCTAGGAGACATTGTTGTTATGTTTTCCAGTCTTGACCTAGAGCTCTTCTCTTCCCCCTGAAATAAATCAGATATTTGGCATGAGTAGCTTACGAGCCCTTACCTGATGTCTGCGCTAACTGCCCTTGAAGCTCTGAAGCAGCCGCCAGGTTATCAACAGCTTTTGACCTGTCTGCCTGGACATAAGATACCTAAAGAAGAATAAAGAAAAAGAATACATTATTGTAAATGGCACGAGAAATGGACTCACTCTACAAATAATTGTGTAAATTTCAGGAATCTGATTCAAGTTCCGGGTGTAGCAGGAAAAGAGGCTGTACGTGAAAGAGTACTCAGACGAAAGTGCTATTTCTTGGCCATTGGATCAGCAAGGGTGTGATTCAGATGGATCAAGAGAAGGCCAGGTATGTTGTGGACTGGGAAGTGCCGAAGAAGGAGAGAGCAGGCAGCAGTGGTCAACCTGGATTGTTGACTAATCTGGCTAACATTGAACTTGGTAAAATGAAATGGTTGAATAATTTAAAAATTAGATTATTCAGGAATACACATTGAATGCTGAGATTACGCATTAAATTTCTAGTAGTAGATTCACAATTAAAAAAGTCTTTGTGATTGTTCTAGAAGAAATTAAAGGTCGCCCCCCTTATTAGAATTAGAACCCATTGAGGGGGGCCTCGGCTCGAGAAAGGGGAGAGTGGCCGAGTGGTCAAAAGCGACAGACTGTAAATCTGTTGAAGTTTTTCTACGTAGGTTCGAATCCTGCCTCTCCCACTTGTTTGTTGTAGAATTCAGAGAAAAGAGGCATTCGTCAGCGAAGGAAGGCTAACCGAGCGAAGCTCTTTCTTTTTTTTGGCCGTGCCCAGCTTATTAGGATAGGACCTTCTCTTTTCCCGGATGACTTGAGCTTGTCTTGGCTCTCTTCTTTGACAAATAGGACTTTGCTTAGATGGTTTGGCACACTTAGCTTTCGATCAAGAAAGATGGGAATTTGTGAGCGAAGAGAGACCAGAAGAATGATTCATTTGGATCGACGAGCTTTTTCAGCCCAAAAACAAATAATCAATGAGTTTCATCCGACGAACAACTTTAGGTATTTATTCTGTGTCCTATCCTTCCTTGCGGATTCCAGGTTTCTGAAGGATTGTTCGACACCACCCGAGAAGCAAAAGATTCGTCAGTCCAGGCTGAAAATACATGCATAGATAGTGGTTTAATGCCAAGGCCGACGACGGAAGCTCGGGACGNTGAAGCTCGGGACGGAGTCGTATGAGGCGGAAGTCTTCCTTATCTTAATAAGACTAATTGACTAAATTATTGAAGAAAAGCTTAAGATTAAGCATAGAAGTCGTTCTGTTAGTGCAATACGCCTTGTTTAGTCATACCTTAAGGTTGTTAGAGCATACTAATGTTCACTTTCTTAAAGTTAGCTCCTAAGAAGATTTCGCCTATCATTCCATCTATGATAATCGCTAATTAATATATTAGAAAGTGAAAATTGAAGACTGAGAACATATGAGGTCGGTGTCGGGCCCTCTTAATATGTTGTAACCGTTGTTGATTAGACTCGAAGTGGTTCAGATCTATGAAGTAGGCATCAATACCTCTGCCAATATCGTCATCTTCTTCTATCTGAAGGGGAAGGTTCCCTTGCTTATATAAAGAGAGAGTTTCTTCTATAATGGTCGCTTACTCTTACTGCTTTTCTCAGGTTCACCTCTTTTGGGTGCCCTGAGGTTCTTGTTTGAAGTCATTTGTTTATCACAGAACAAGTCCCCCTCAGTCACTACCGTTCCGACCCTTTTGTTCGAAATTTCTTCGTATGTACTGAACTGCTTGCAGAATCAAATCCTGTTCCACAAGATCCTATATCAGCTATACATCCTCCTTGCATTTATGCAGGAGACGTCGCCAGTGCTATGGGCTTTGGCTTATGTAGATCAAAAATGATGAATGGGATTATGGCACTCCACTCGCCGCCAATGCGGAAGGATGCCGTCGAAAAGAATGGAACACGGTTTCGCTCTTTTGGATGCGTCGGATCCCGTATAACAAGCGAGCTCTTTACCCTCAAATTCAAACATGTGGGCACAAAATGCTATGCTGCTTTATTGTTACGTAGCAATAGAAGCCTGCTTATGATGCTTCAGCGGCACTTTTTTGCCTTCTCTTCGCTCTGGACAGGAGTGCTAGTGGACACGGGGAGGGAGCAGGCGAAGCGTGCGTCAAGTGCTAGCGCCCTACAACTAGTATAGTATAGCAGAGCAGCCAGCTTCAAATCTTACCTGATTATAAAAAGAAGTATTATTAATAAAGAGTAAGGTTAGGGGGCTGAGAAGCTCTTGCTTGCTGCTTGCTGTCTACTTCGCGAGCCTTCACCTACCCTTCGAACTCGGAGATTGAAGAAGATCACTCTATGCAGCGACAGAGGCAGAAATAGAAATTAATCATTCAATGTCTACTCATTCTCCTCTCTTCAATTCCCAATGAACAACATGATCTTGACCTATCATTTGTTTAATTTGGTCCATTCCCCTGTGTGCCAATCGCTAGCACATCCAGGGCCCCGGCGCCCAGCTCAGCTGGAGAGGCCTAGCCTGATCTGAGAAGTGTTAATTAGGCTCGGATAGACTTCATTCAAGAATGCCACTGGTCTTTAAACTTGCAACTGCTATCTAAGTCTAAGACAAGAAATGTTTCTTACTCTTAAGTTTGATCGCCAAACTACTAGCTTCTGGGAAGAGGGTTATAGACTCATTCAGGTTGAGACGGACTCCCTGGTTTCTAGATTAACATATTCCAGAGCAGTCTGGTGATTAGCCTATCCTGCACTACTCGAAGCCTCTTTGATTGCTTTTTATGAAGTCGCACCGGGAGCTAGTGCGGTATTTGCCGACAAGAAGCCTTTTTCATTTAAAGGAGTCTAGTCTGTACGGATGCGCTTACCCCTGACAGTGATGGATATGGATGACGAAAGACCGCCAGCGAAAGCCAATATGCTTTCTCAGCGATCTTTTCTCATCCTGAAGTTAATCTCTTGTCCTCTACTGACCCGAAAATGTGTCATGTATCAAATGGTTGATGTAAACCTCGAATGTCGATAAGTTCTAACCTCTTTAAAGAGTGTATCACAACACAAAGTAAATGAGGGAACTGATAGGTTTAAACTCAAAGAGTCAATCATTACAATAGCAAAAACTAGAACCAAGAAGGAGATTCAGAGAAGAAGGATAGAGAGAGCCAAGGGAGAACAGGAAAGAAATAATCCAGAGGAAGAAGCCAGAATAACGGAGACGAGAGGGGAACAAAGTTCTCAACAATAGGCATAATCCTAAAATTACTGGCCACTACTCTTTTTAATAGAATTGTTTTTAACAAGAGTGGGTTACTCTAGTGGTGAACATCCTCCACTTCCAACTAAGAGGTTGTGAGTTCGTGTCACCCCAAGAGGAAGGTGGGGAGTTCTTGGAGGAAGAAAGTCGAGGGTCTATCGGAAACAGCCTCTCTAACTCAGGGTAGGGGTAAGGTCTGCGTACCCCTCCCCAGGCCCCACTAGTGGGATTATACTGGGTTGTTGTTGTTGTTGTTGTTCTTGGGCTCATTACTCAACCCGGATCCCAAATTAGCCTAGCCCTATTATTTGTTCTCGGCCCAATAGCTCTTCTCAACCCAATATTTATTTGTGTGTTGATATCCTTATTGGGCTGAGGTTGATTCATAACCGTATTTGATTGCTATTATCCCCAACAAGCCCTCTCCGTAATTTCTTATGTTGAGCGTATGAATTATATCCAGTAGACGAAATGCCACGTTTCGAAATGTTTGGTTATAAATATGCCCGAGTATTAAAAATTTTGATTCAGATCACTACTTTTTAATCTAGTTTTCATCAAAAAGCAAGTGAGGGAGAAAGTTTGTATAAAGAAATTTGAACAAGTAGACATATTAACATTAAATATTTTCAATTTGAGAATGTTTTTTGAAATATTCCTAAACTAAAGGTTAGCTAAAATTTAACCTAATATGTATTTTTCACTACACTAAATGAAGTGTCTACGTATATTTTCTTTTTCAAATTATGCCTCTTCAATGCTTCTAATTTTCCATAGTACTATATACTATTAGACTTTTACAAAAAAGAGAGAATTTTTTTAAATAATTTTTTTTCTTGCCGTAGCTTCTTATTTTCACTTAGAAGTCGAAAAGTAATACGCTCATCCATATGTTACTAATATAATGTTAAAAAAATCGCAACATTGATATATTGCATTTTATTTGAAAATGAAGAAAAGATCTATTAAAAAGTTAAAATCGTGAATTTACCTTCAGTTTATTCAAATAACACTAGTCTTATGATACGCGTGTATACTACCTCAAGTGGTAAACAACTTTTTTAAAAACATATAAATATTATATTGAAATTGATCAAATCTAGAGCAAGCTCTCACTGATGAAAGGAAGAAGATGATGAAAAACAGAGAGAACAATGAGCAGAAGAAAATAAGTTGCTTTTCACTAAATTGATCTAAGTACAAATACAATGTATAGCTCATATATATAACTACCACTAACTGCTACTGCTGCTTTAACTTAACAATTGTGTACAACTGTCACTACTAACTAACTAACTAACTGCTAACTTCCTAACTAACAACTTTCACTCTTCAACACCCCCCTCCAACTGATGGTTGAAATATGTTTTTCAACCCCAGATTGGATACAAGATAGTCATGTTGTAGCTTCCCTAAGCTTTTAGTAAGAAGATTAGCATGTTGCTCTTTGGTAGGCACATGATGTGTTTTGATCATTCCTTGAACTATTTTCTCCTGGACAAAGTGACAATCAATGTCAATATATTTTGTCCTTTCATGGAATATAAGATTCGCTGCAATCTGAATGGAAGCTTTGCTGTCACAGTAGAGATCTATAGGCCACTGTACAGTTACACCTAATTCCTTAAACAGACCAGTCGGCTAGGTTAGTTCTGCAACAGTTGAAGCCATGCTTCTAAACTCTCCTTCAGCTGAACTTCTAGCAACATTGTCTTGCTTCTTAGATTTCTAGGATACTAGAGCATTGCCAAACTTCACTAGATAGCCAGTGACAGACCTCCTAGTTTGTAGACATACTCCCCAGTCTGAGTCACTGAAAGCTTGTAGTTTGTCTGATCCTTGAGGTGGCATTAGCAGGCCAAGTCAGGTGCAACTTTAATATACCTTACTACCCTTAGAGCAGCTTTCATGTGTGACTGCTAGGGCTTGTGCATAAAATAACTAAGCAATTGCACTACAAAGGCAATATCAACTCTAGTCATTGTCAAATACAGTAGTCTGCCAACAAGCCTTTGGTATGAACATGCATCACTGAGTAACTTGTCCTCAATAGCTTCATTTTTTTGAGAAATGAATCATATTCAGTAGAGGTAAACTTCACATTAGTTTCCAGTGGTGCACCAGCAGGCTTAGCACCTCCAAGTCCTATTTCTGCAATTAGTTCTAAAGCATACTTTCTTTGGCTCATGACAATCCTTTTGTCTGATCTGGAAAATTCTATGCCAAAGAAGAACTTAAAGCTCTTCCAAGTCCTTCATTTTGAACTTCAGCTTTAGGTCATTTCTTGTCTTCAGAATCAACTTATTACAGCTTCCAGTTACAAGGAGATCATCTACATAGCCCAACACCACAACCAACTCATTATGTATGTGCTTTGTGAACAGGGAATAGTCAAAATGACTTTGAGTAAAGCCTAGTTGTAGTAGTGCATCAGTCAGCTTCTTATTCCATTGTCTTGGAGCCTGCTTAAGTCCATATAGAGACTTATGTAGTTTGCAGACTCTATGATACCCTCCCTGGCTAGAAAACCCCTGAAGGATATCCATATATACCTATTCTAGAAGATATCCTTGTAGAAATGTATTGTGTACATCCATTTGAAATATAGGCTAGTGTTTAGTTGCAGCAACCACAGACCTAACATTCACCATTTTTGCCACTGGTGAAAAGGTTTCAGTGTAATCTAGGCCTTCTTGTTGACTATACCCCTTCGCCACAAGTCTAGCTTGGTATCTCTCTACTGCTTCTGAGGATGTGTACTTGACCTTGAACACCCATTTACAGCCAATTGGAACCTTGCCAGCAGGTTGATCAACAATACTCCATGTCTTATTTTCCTCTTAGGCTGCAATCTCAGATTTCATAACTGCAATCCAGTTGGGATTTTTGACTGCTTCAATATAGGTTTTAGGTTCCTCAATAGAAGAGTAACTAGCTAGGGCAGTACTGAATGAAGCAGAGATATGGTCATAGCTCACATAGTTGTACATATGGTAGCGACAATTGACACTCTATTTTCCTTGAGTAACATAGTCTTTCAGCCAAAGAGGTGGCCTGCTGGCTCTGATTAACTTTCTTTTTGTGTCTAGTGCAGGCTGTGTGGGAGCATTGTGCACAGTTCCATAGGGCACTGCATCCATAGAAGCAACTGGTGAACATCCATCAGAAGGGACATGTATATCTGAGGGTGCAATAATTTCTTCATTGGTTGCTATGGTAGGAGATGTAGTTAGATTAGGGATATCTGGCATGTACTTGTAACAACCCGACCGATCGTTTTGAGTATTACAACCTCGCTCCCCCATTTACTGCTCAATTTATGCTTTACGGTTGTTATGTGACTTTCCGGGGTGATTAGTTCGGGTCCGGTGAGGTTTTGGAATGATTTGGAACATTTAGTTCCAAGGTTTAGAACTCAAAATGAAAAGGTTGACCGGATGTTGACTTATGTGTAATGACCCCGGAGAATGTTTGCTAAGGAAATTAAGGTTTTATGGTGCCGAGGTAGATCAATTAGTACAAAGGTTGTAGAAATTTTTCGCGGCTCGAACTTTTTGGGTTGAACAATGCACTGGGAGTAAAGGAAAATGTTCGACAAAAAAAGTTGATTTTGCGGCCCACTATGCGGTCGCAGAATCACTCTATGGACCGCATAATGGCCGCAAAGTGAATCAAAAATAGGGCAAGTTTGAAGGAAGGTCTGCGGCGCATTATGCTACCGCAGACCAGTTCTACGGCGCATTATGCGACCGCAGAACAGGTATGCGGACCGCATAACGGTCGCATACTGAAACAGTGTTGCCCAGTTCCGGAGGGCCGTTTTGCGGCCCATTTTGCGGGCTGTAGAAGCATTATGCGGTCACATATGCAACCACAGAGTATGTTTCGGAGCTTCATTTTTCTAGTTTTATAAACCCGACCCC